AGGGCTAGGTTTGTCGGAGAGGGATCCATCCATTTGATCCATCTTTGATCAGGAATGGTCGAAGGCCACATTTGACACAGCCTTTAAAATGGGCAGGCCTAGTTGGACAGCTGTGAAACCATTATTCCACAAATAGAGCCTCCAAATAATTCAATTTTATTTGTATAGTGCCAAATCATAATTTACATTATCTCAAGGTACTTTACATAGAAGGTCAAGACCTTATCATATTTAATATAGGGAAATATGGCCCCTGAATTGGGTCACAGCTTGCCACTACTCTATGCCTTCATTCCGTAGTGCATCCTGGTGCCATTTCTTCCTCATGTGCACAAAATACATACACTCTGCAGTTCACATGATACAAAAGCAAATGTGATTCATCAAACCAAGCCACCTACATAATTGCTCCATGATCCATTTCTGATTCTCAATCGATCATAATAGATGGTTTGAGTGGGAGACAGTCAGCATGAGCACTGTGATGCCACAGACCAATATGTAGCAAGCTGCAATGGATTTTGTGTTCTGCCAGCTTTCTATCATAGCCCAAAATAGTGTGTGCTCTTCAGTAGGACATGACCAGACAGGCCAGGCTTTACTCCCTACATGCATCGATAAGGTTTGGATTCACATGACTCTGAAGCTAGTCCACTACTTGTCCTTTCTCAGGCAAATGATGAACTGGCAACTTATACTAAACACCTTTTGCCATTTAGTTTTGGAGATGTTCTGCTTCCAACTCAACTATTTCAACAACTCACTCTTCACTTGCTGGATAATGTATCCCACCACTTGACAGGTGCCATTGTAACAAGATAATCTATGTTTCTCACTTCACCTGTCAGTGGTTGTAATGTTGCAGTTAATCGGCGTATAATACTATCACACCTCAAGCAGGCAGCTCATTTTAGATATTAGTATTACCAATGTGAGATCACTCATGTCAGAGCAAGCAGTGGAGTGGAAAGAGAGGGAGACTAAAATATACCAACTTCTGCCTCCATCTGGGACATTTCAGCCAGAGATTTATGTTTTATTTTGGAGGAAGGCGAAAATTGTCCTGTTTACTCCACGGGCACAGTGACAAATAAGGATAAATGAAAGAATGTGATTACGTAAAGCAAATATAAATCAGCCTTGGGATACACAATGCAAAAATTTTAAGGAGGATGTTTTTTTGTGTCAGCGGTTCCTGTAGCAACCCCCAGCTTTCAGTGGAGAAAAGATTTCCCTTTGAACTGTCTCTGTGGAGGTTTCCTCTCATTTATTTTTCCTATATCACTTTAGGATTTTGGGAGAAGGTTTCCTTTGTGCTCTCAGTCTAGGTCAGGGACCACTGATGTTACTTAAATGCAGAGCAGACACACTAATTAGGATGGTCGGTAGATATGTATGACTTGCTGCCGTGCATAACTGCCTTAAGTGAGTGGCAGATCACTGAAGGTGAAAGGGAAATTGCACAGCTGGAGCAGGGTGTCAAACACATGAAATGGCTCATGACGAAGAGGTGAGTTTTTTGGCGCTGTGTGTATGCATGCGTGTGTTAGTGAGAGTGTGGGTGTGCATTTCAAGTGGTGAGACTGGCTGCAGGGATCTGGTCAGGTAGGGTGTTATTGGGCTGTCGACACAGAAGCTGTGACAGGAAATGGAAATGACAGGATGACAGAAAAGTGTGTGTGTGTGTGTGTGTGTATTGGTGTGAAGGAGTGCGTTCATGTGCAAGGACGCTTGCAGGGTTTATATCTTAGAAATACTGAGTATAGAAGCAGTATTGGGAAAATAAAAAACTCTGAGATTTTTGGAATAATGTCATCAATTTATTAGAATTAAAGAAAGCACAGAGAACCTGCACAGAGGTCCATTACTTCAGGATCCAAAATCTTGGTTACCTATCTAATTGACTAATATATTCAATGATGAAGTGATACAATTGATTCTCCCACTGTCAGGTTATTTTTTTCCCCTTTAATGACCCTAATACTCTGTTGTACTTAACTGTATAGGCTACTGCAGTTGTGAGGAACACATGAGGGAGGGGATTTCATTTTAGACTTATGTTGATGGTGCAGACTGACTTTTCAAGGTATGTTTTAAAATAAGAATATTAATTAATTTAGTTAGTTTCTCACACATATTGATGTGAGTGACTGTTATATAATGTGCACATGCACACAGCCGATTATCATCCAATGATCAATAATGTAAGCAGTTAAAGGTGATTTTAGTTTTGCCAACCTGTGAACACGAAAATAAATCAATGGTGTATACATACACATGTACACACACACACACACACACACACACGTCACGTCTGACAGTCTTTGATGTAGTCAAAGTGTTTTCCCTCTCTCATGTTGTTTTATCTTTGTTTCCTGCTTCATTCGTGACACACTTGTATCCGTCTGTCACCTCAATAACAAAGACTCATTGTTATTGCCGCTCATTTAAAAGCAGGCTGTCTGGTTTCTCCCTCAGAAAGTCAGAGAAAGAGCACATTGATTTATGGATAATAAGATTTAAGTGAGATTTTGATGTGGAAAAAAAACAGTTGGGCAAGATAATTTCATTGTGTGGAAAGAACTGAAGCTTTGTATACCCAACATAGAGGAAGTCTGAAATCTTCTGAATCTTACACCGTATGCAACCGTAAAATGTGTCATGCAACTTAGGGAGTTGACAAATTCATGCATGACAGAAAAAAAAAACATGTGAGTATTTTGAGTCAGTTAAACACATATTAGCATAAATTGATGTGATTGTTTCTTGATGTCCACAAAGACAACCAGGTTTAATTGCCCCGTGGCGTTCTCTATCAAAGTATTATTACATTTACTGACAGAAAAAAAAAAACATTAAATCCTTAATAATGCAACAAATCTGATGAACAGTTGATAAAGTATAAACACACAAGTGTAGAAATGTGGATGGTTCCATTTCCCCAGTCTTCTCTTCTCTCTTAGCATAATAACTTCAGTGTTAATAATTCCTGATCAGATCACCTGCTCAGTTTGTCTCATTGGTGCTTGTGGGTGGCTGACTTTGATTTGGAAGTCAAAACTAAATGTTTTCTGTGCAACATCACAAATAACTGAAGACAGGAGCTGGTTGACCTGAAGCTTAAACTTCTGTAATCACTTTCAAGAAAAGATTCTGGATGTGAATCTGCAGAATGTGGCAGCGAGGGACAGGATTTGGGGGGTGGATGTCTTTGGGTTTCTGTTTCTTGTTTGACCAGTCATGTCAGTGCAGGCTTTGGTTGCCCACAGACAAAGACATAGAGCAAAATGCATTGACTGTTGTTTTTTCAAATGTAATTACATTTATATGCAGAGAACTATATATGTAGTTGAGACAAAATGTTTTCTTGACCTAAAACACTATTTGGAGGGTATCTTGTCTCTCAACTCCAACTCCAGTCTCACATCTTATGCCATCAGTCAGACTCAGGGGCTGTGGCTCAGGGGACAGAACAGGTTGACCCAACTCTTCCCCATTCCGATTGCCGTACTGACGAAACTGAACCGCAAAAGTGCTGCCAATAGATGCACTGTATGAGTGTGTGTGGGTGAGTGGCAAAAAACTGTAATGTATTAGCCCTGTGGTTGTTCATCCAGACTAGAAAAGTGCTTTGTAAATACAAACCATTTACTATTTACTGTAAACAGTGAATGGCAAACATGATGGAGTCTTGGCCAGATTATCCACTGTCAACACCAACAGCCGAAATTTTGGCAGTGGCCCATAGAAGCTAATTCGTTATCAGACGATAGCTGATGGGCTTGGAGATTGAACTTTCTGAGGACACAAGCACAGAAACACATCCCCATCCAACAGTCAGTAGTAGCCTCCCTCCCCCTCCCCTCTCCTCCTTGTCTTCCCCACAATGAAGTGGCGATTAAGGTGGAAATCAATTTGAGTTGCCCACGGCTAAATTGATATCATCACATTTACTGCAGGTTGAATAATGAATGACTGTATCACTATACGGGGACGTAATGGGATGAGACAAAGCCCAGGTAGACCGCTCGCCGCAGGTGAGGGCTATTATTAGCATCCGGTTCATGGCACACCCACTCAGAACCATACATGTACTGATGCATGTGCAGGTAAAAGGTGAAATACACAGTTAAATTACAATATAACTTAAGCCATTGTCACTGCTATGATACACAATGCTCAATCACAGCATCTTGCAAGTGTTGAATTAAAGCATTTCCAGTTGTCGAGTGCAGAGGTGTTTCCATGTGTTTCTCTCCACTACTCATTAGTCCTGACAGGTTTTTTTAATTTTGTTATGAACATCTGTTCGCTGTTTGTTGCCCACTGATGAGCCTGTGAAGTGAAGTAATGGCCAGAACACTTTCTGAAAATTACTCACTCTGCAGGTAAAATGCTGTGGACACTAATTAGGTGAATGTTTTTTTTATCCACTATTAAAAAGATTATGTGACAATAACTCAAGTTGGAAACCAAGATTTCCGCCTGTTAATTAAATGAAACAGAAGCTACATGTGTGAAAGTGAAATGTGTCCCGTCAGTGATTATTAGGTAAAATGGGTATTATAAAATAAAGTTGAGATTAAACAGAAGGGTGATGAATGATGTATGATATACTAAGTCGTGTCATCATCACCTACGTGGAATGAGTCTACCTGTACTTGACATAAATTGGTTTGCAGGCGAGCTTGCATCATTTTGACTCATGTTTTGTCAAACTTCTTTGGAAGAAGTGACCGGTTCATATCATAATGGTTTAACTAACAGGAAATAAAAAGTCCTCATCTTTCGAAAAATCATATCACTGGACGTGAAGCGTGAAACAATCCTGTGATCTGCTTCTTGTTCTTCTTCTGTTATTTAATGCTGTCAACTATTGCGTCTCTACTTCCTGACTGATCTGATGTGGTTCAGTTTGATCCAGACTGAGACCACATGTTTTGGTCCAGACTCATCAAAGATAACAAGAATAACATTTAGTTTTTGAATATCAAGCACTTTATTCATTTTGCTCTAACAATGTACAGGTTTGATCAATTTAAAATATGTTATGTACCTTTGCTCAATCCAGTGTGATGTTATTTAAGGTTCAAAGACACAGTTATGTAAAAAAGAAGAAAAAAACTACAGTTTCATCATTGAATCAAGGAGCCCATTCAGGATAATACACATTCTAGAGACATTGCATTTCTTTACATTATAATTTACGACAAAATAACACTATTCACAGACACATTAATATTGTCCCAGTGAAACACAGGGACTGTTCTCTGATCAGATGCTGGTCGACCACGTCATGGTAAAAGGTTGATCCACAGGAATGGCCTTTGAAGTAACATCTATAATCAGCTCCTGTAGACACAAGAAGAGAGATGAGAAATGTGCTAAACCTTTGGTAACTTTCCCAAAATAGCTAGAATAATTGGAGAGGTTACAAAATATTAAATACAAAACATAAATAAAAAAACAAACTTCAAATACATAAATGTTATATTTTATAGACCATGGAGGAAGGAGTGTAAGGTTTCATTTTTTTACACGTGTTATCCTAAATATTGAACTTTCATATATGTGTCATTCAGGCTGCAGAGAGGTGTGATTCCCCATCAACCCGTAGATGAATGGATTGTCTTGAGCTGAAAAACCACTTATTACTACGCTCGGTCTATCTCATCCTCATCCCTCTCTCTGCCCTTATTCCTTCCCCCTGCCCATCTTTCATTCTCCCTTTCACCTCTCTCTTCCTCTCCATCTGTTTTTTCGTGGTGTATTCTCTCTCCCTCCACCACGTCCGTCCCTCTTCCACTCCTACCCTGTCTTTTCATTATTCTCGACTCATCCATGCATCGCCATCACACACACATGCACAAACACACACACATTCAAAAATGCTTCTGTCATTTTGACTTTGCTCATCTGCAATTCTTGCCCTCTCTTCCTGACTCTCCCTGTCTGTCTCCTCCAAGAACAGTATAAATCTAAGACTTCTGGGCTATTTTCACCTGCGATTATTTATGGTGCTGCTGTGCCTATCATTTTCATGCTCTTGATAAGTGCTCTGAGTACAGTACACAACCTTGACAGGAACATTTTATCAAAGGCCAAATGAGAAGAGGGAACACAGGCAATCCTATAAAATCTGTCATCGTCTTTCCTCTTTCTTCTTTTTCACACTTTTGTAAGAGTCACCGTCCATATCGCCCATCCTCAACCTCAAGAATTATGCATTTCAATGTAAACTACTAATACATCACAACATTTTCTTCATTACTCCTATTTCGGAATCTTTTAACTTCTGTCTCTGCAACCTTGATTTGAAAGGATGGCCGCAGCTCAAGCCCTGATATGATGAACATTAACTCCACTCTTGAGTATCCTTAGCTCCAGCTTAACCTTACAGTTCACACTTATCTCCCTGCACAGCACTGGAGAGGAGATTTAGACACCGATACTGGTGGGAAACTAATTTAATGTAAAGAGCAGACCATATCCCGGTGCTCAATTTTCAACATGGCCACTAAAAACGACAATAACTATGATACTGTAAGGCATTTTGCACGAATGAATCATCATGGGGCAAGTAGTGTAACAGTGTGTGTGGCTTGGCTTTGTGTACACAATGCCCAGCATGATTTTCTGTCACTTCTTTTTTCAGTTCAACCACTGGAGCAGTTGATGGAGGGAGGAAGAGGAAATGACAATCATTGTACATGAGCAGCTTTAAAAATCACGGTCCCAGAGTCATGTCTCTGGCTCCGTGCTCATCACAAAACAACAGTGTCAGGGGGATTGCAGAGTTGATTACAGCTATTAGATGACAAAGTGCAGCAGAGCAGGGGGTTGGGTTGTGAACCTGACTCCTGCTTTTTTTTTTTTGTAGTGACATTTTTTGACTGGCAGGGAAATGCTCAATCAACTCTAAAGCTGGGGTGTGTTTATGAAATGAGTTGAGTTAATGATGACAGAAGCTCACTCAGCTATGATATTACTGCACATATCCACCACATTCAATGGCACCGATTGTGTGCATGTTAGACAGTGATTAATATGTTTGGTTTGAGGTTATTGGAGCATAAAATCTAGCTGACTTTTTATGTGGGACGCTAGAGAATATGTTGTACATTGTCAACGTACTAATGGTGCCCTCAGACTTCAGTGCATTGCTACATTAGAAAACACATGGAATGTATCTTCATCACAACACAATCAAATACTCACACAGCCTAAAACTAACCACAAAAACAAATCGTACTCGCAACACAACTGGAAATGGCAGCACTTCCTTTGAGTTGTGAGTATTATCTCTTTTCTTACTCATCTTCTCTTTGTGTTGTCAAATTGATAAATATATATATATATATATATATATATAATATTCTCCATGTCCATGCGTTTTTTCTATTTGTGTGTTTTCTATTTTTCCATATCAGATACCTCTCTCTAGCCTTGAGATTATTAACAACCAGTTAAAAAATCTGTAACTTTATTCACATTTTCTGATTTCCAGCCTCTGTATTATGTGGTTAGTTTATTGGTAAATTGAATAAAACATAAACAAAGATGAAAAAATAATCTTTTACACATTGACAGTCAGTGTCTGTCTACAACTGTGTGCACGAGGATACCACTCGTTTTCCAGAAGCTGCCGTTTCATCTCTGCTGAAAGCTTTTATGGTCATAGACCTTTTCTTGTACTTGATGATTTGTGTTTATCTCAGAGACGCTAGTGCACAATGGCAGATTGAATTAAGACCATGTTATTCTAAGCTTATTTAAAATCTTAGAGGAAGAGCAACACTGTTTTTACTTATAATTGAATCAGCTTGTGATTTACAAATTGTAACTTTTAATTTCATAGAAAATTAATCACATCTTGAATAAAGTAACTTTACTGGTCTTACCTGAGTGTCGAGGTTGTGCTGAGGGGTCAGCTGATGCTGTGTTCCGCTTGCATCCGTTAAGGTCGCTGATGTGACCTTGACGCTGCCCGCGCCCCAAACCTTCACCACGCCCAGGATCAACTGGTCAGCTGGGGTCAGGTTATTGTGGTTGACCTGACTCGTCAACTTGTTCTGGAAGAAGTGTTGGAAAATAGAAAGATGGAACAAAGAGAAAAAGAAAATGAAAAGAAATTCAATAAACATAATTCAAAAGTGATTTGATTAATATCTACTTAAACATTGCTCATCTCATGCATATATTTACTTTATAGAAGAGAAGAGCGCTTCTGATTTGTGTCACAGGCAGATCATAAATCCTGAACTTACAGTGTTGTCGGCGTAATTTGCTGAAAATGTGCTGTAGTGAGCTGAGCCGTGGACTTCCACCTCTCTATATTCAGTTTGATTCCACGCTTCATCTCTTCACAGAGTAAGATTTAACATTTGAGTATCTTTCTCCATGTCATTAGTTTTATATCCACTCTGATATAATTCTTTTCTCTGTGACTCACTTTTCATAGATATTATATTCTGCATGGAGCTTTTGATTATCTGAATAGTTTTTGAATCTGTGCTTTGACCATGTTTACATTGTGGATTAACACACATGTTTTGGCACACACACACACACACACACACACACAAACACATGTATTATCAACTAACAAAAGTAGTGACAGCCACTTCAAATCCAAAATACAAAACTGACCTCACTTTGGAAATTGCTCGCTTCGAAGGACCAAAATTCATATGGAACTAAAGGAACACACACACACACACACACACACACATCTACTTTCAGATAGCCATCCAAAATGGCATACGATCTGCTAATCTGCCAGGCAGCACTGGCCTCATTGCCCAACTTATCCTCATCTTCCCACATCTGCCTGTACACACACACACACACACACACACACACACACACACACACACAAAAGCACATTCGAAGTCACACACACTTATGCTCTCTTTCTCTCTCCCTCTCCCCCTTTGGCTGTCAGACAGTGTGCCTGTTTTATCGCTGCGTGAAATTGCTTTGGAATGAGCCTGATGGTAGGCAGAGGACAGCCACAGATGTTTGGCTATGGTCGCTGTACGTGTGTACGTGTATACTGTAGGTGTGTGCATACAATGTATATGTGCGCGTGTATGTTTGTGATTAAACTCACGCTCATTGACGTGTGCCTGTGTGTGATTGTGTGCCGTTGCCTGGCTCGAGGAGCGAATGGGGCTAGGTTGGTCCCATTAGTCCCAGCGATTAGAGAGTTTCTGTCACGTCTGAATCAAAATGTGATCAAACTGTGGCCTGGAAAACATTCTCCTCTCCCTGAACTTCGCTGTAAGGATTTTGCAATACTTAACTTGTAACTGTCAGTATGTTTGTGCATGTCCAGCGTCACATTTGTGTCTGTGTTTGTAAGATTTCAAATCTTCCTTTAAAACCTTTTTAAATGTGTTGGTAAGGTCATGGATTCTCATGGAAGTGCATATAGCAAGGCCAGTGGGGTTGATACTATTGCTTGGGATGCACAATGCGTAGTACAATGATATACTGTGACTCCCCTTGGCTCATTACCGCCTCATCAGAGATCCACTGAGCAGCAGTAGAATTCTGACCCCTTTTCAAAAGCTTGTCACAGCTCAGACAGACCACCTCAAAAATATATAAACCCATTTGATTGCACTTTAGAGCTTCTATATTATTCGACCCCTTTTCTGCGTCTTAATTAATTAAACGCTGATATATGGAGGTAAGGTGTCTGACCCCCTTATATATCAGGTAGTTGTCAAATTAGATGAATTGTATAAGCTTGTTAATACTGAATTAGGAAAGGGACTGTGGGAAAACATTATCTATTACATTATTTTCTAAAATAACTTGTTAAACCCTGAAAATCTGGCTCCTAATTGAAAAATGCCATTTCCAAATTAAACATAGTATATCTGCAACTACAGGGTCTACATGGAGAATATTTTTATCTTTCTACAGGTAAAACTTGTTATTTCTGCAGTGGTTTAAGCATCAATGTAGACATTAATGGAAGGTGTTCGTGTTTGCCTGTAAAACCAGAACAGAGCTTGATATAATCACTCTGCTTATTGGTTCGGTATTTGCGATGGTAGTTTTATCCATATTTGAATCTTTACTCGATGAATGAGGCAAGAGCAACATGTCATTTTGGCACTGTTTGTGTTTGTGCCAACTGAAGCCACAAAACCTCTCTTTGTGCTTGTGTTTGCAATAAGGGATTATATGAGGCGATAGAAATGTGAGAGCAATTTGGGTGAAAACCACAAAGAACACAATGTGATCTGCATGAACACAACCACAGCTGCTCCACTCCAACCACCTCTCTGCCAGGCAGCACGTCAGCTCTGAGCCATGTAAATACTAAGCAGGAGCCTGTACTATGAAGCAGAATTTAAACTGCAGGTTGAATTCAGGGTTTTCAGTCCTCCAAAGCTTGTTCACTTCTTATCGGGGAAAATCACCATGGTGACTTATGCTGAACGGCTTGGTTGGAGATAATATCTCAACCTGTATAAAATCTCCTCCCACAATCAATTCCTTTGAAACATGACATCACTGTTCTTAGAGGATTCCGCGGAGCTCGGTGTGGATTGTTAGAGGGTCTCTGAGGAGAGCGAGGGTCTTCAGAGACCCATAAAATCCTTTTACCTACTCAGTCTGTCTACATTACGGGAAAATAGTTTTACATTTGTTCCTTCCCTTTAAGTAGGTTTATCCTATGAAATGAATTATCTATTCGGAATGAGGGATAATGTCTGAAGGACTAACCATTGACTTCAATTGTATTGGATTCTGCTTTAACAAAGTTTAGCCGTGAGACTCCAGAAGTGTTTTTTAGACTCAGACATGTCATTCACCCCTCCATCAGGACAGTGGTGAGATAATGAGTGAATTTACATTTTTGGGTGAACTATCCCTTTAAGGGTAAGGGAAGTTTAAAACAGTGTCTGGTTGGTTAAGTTAATTCCTGCCGCTAACACCCCAGTGCGCACAGTCATGCTGCGTGCACCATGTCGTACAGAAATAGGTCCATGTTTTTATTGATTAGTGATAGTAACGTTTCCATCAAAGTGTGGCCTCATTCAGAGTCAGTGCAGACAGTGTGTGTTAAACTAAATCTCATTATAGAGGTGACATCATGTGATTAAGCGAAACGTTTAATTTCTTATCCAAGAGGCTTCCTCAGTTCAGTTGTTCGACGGGTCTTGTTAGTAAAGAACAGATTCATATCTCATGGCCCCAAGTTATTTATCTCCTTCCCACGTGTTATTATGTCGTGGCCGTGCTAACGGGGGGCTCTGTAATTTATGCATTCACTCCATTAGTGACTTTTTACCAGCTGTCCTTCCTGCATTCAGCAGCTTTAGCTTTGTTTCTTTTACTCTGGTTAATGTGTTTCTTCTCCTTGTATTTTTCTTATATAACAGTTTGCTCCATGTTTGTTAAATATGCTTATCTGCTGCCGGTTAACTTGTCCATGTCAGTGATTGGTTCTGTGTGCACACGCTCATATCTAGAGTAGGAAAACCTGGGTTTTCTTAACGAGTTGTTAACCAGCTTTGTGTGACCTCTTAGCCTGACAGTGTTTGTTTGGTAAATTTCAGCCGGATAATGGAAAGATACGAGGGGTATGTTGAGCTCAGTTTGTTGTACAGGCCCCAGGTGTGCGCACAACAAAAACATGATACTGTGGCTTCATCAGGGGTGTCGGCATGGTGATGGCACTGAGGCCTTACGCACTTACAGACACACTCAGGGCTGTGCAGACCTGGTGTAATCATCCATCAGGAAAGATCAGATCACACTCTTCACACCTGGTGTTACAATGCGTCCTGAATCTGTCTCCTGTGACCACTTGGATATTTCACTTTCCTGCTCTACATGCAAATAATCAGAACATCATTTGTGTTTGTGAAGAGAAAATGATGTTGTTTTTAGCAGTTATTGTGTGTCGGTGTGTGTCTGTGGGATTGACAGAGAAAGAAAAAGACAGGACTCCGGAGGAACTGAATGAATGAATGCATGCAGTTATGAAGACAGATTTTACCAATAAAAAAAAAGTTTCAATGATCGTATTTCAGGACATATTTTTGGTGCGTCTACTTAGTGTTCACCACAGATAGTGAGGTCAGGACGGATGTTAACACCAGGTCTTAACGGGGTCTTGGTGAGTCTGATTGGAGAACAGGACTCTACAATCTGACTTGGCAGCATCCACCCCACAGTCACTATTCTCTTATGACACCATGACATGCGCAGGATGACTAAATTGTAAATCAAAAGCAATGAAGTGAATAAAATTGTAGTACACAGGTATAAAAGCTCCTGCAATCTGTGTGTGTAGTTCTAGTTATATGAAAGACTACAACACATATTTGATATAGATGTTGAAGTCTGATGATAATATACTGTTGGATGAATATAATAGTTGTAATTACATGATTCAACAACTGGTTCCAGAACTTTGTCACAGGCAGAAGTCATAAAAGCTCAAATCCAAACCACCACCCCAGAGATGGAGAGAAATCCTGTGCTAATGGTTTCCAGTGGTTAGCCTTTGACATCTGCCTACCACAGCCCTGTATCATGGTAAAAGCCCGGCCTTATATTCCCAGTCCTGCTGCATTAATAACAATAATGAAGAGGGGAAAAAAAAAAGATGTGAATAGTTGGCCCCCTGAACTCACCGGTTCTGCTGCGAAGGAGGTCAGCAGATATTGTCCTCTCTCAACCGTGTCTGAGGAGAGAGAAAAGTGGAGTGAATTTCATAATGAGGAAGAAATGGAGGGGCAGAGAAAATAGGTGTCACGAATGACGGAGGGAGAGAGACAGCGCAAGAATAAATGAGGGAGTGTACGGATGAGACTATTCATGTCGACCAGTTGCCCGAGGTTAGTGGGTAGCGGGTAGATAACTAAGTGGTCACTTGATGACGTGGTCATGTTATGTGGTGAAAAGGATGTCATTGTGTGCGTGCATGTACAAATAAGACGAGAGAGAATTTGGATTTATACACTTCTATACAGTGACTCATCACAAAGTAAGACCTCCAGTTATTACTGCTTGATTAAATGAGGCTAGTAATTAGGAGAGTGGCTGAGGTAAATAATTGACCAGCGACACGACTTCACCACATAAAAGAATGAATAATGAATAAGTGGTGTGAATGAGTGAACATCGGACTTCCTGAATGAATGAGTAGCCAGCGCACAAATGAGTCTGCGTGATTGACAGCCGAGAGAACAGCGCACCCTCTGAAGTGAAAATCAGAAATGCAGAACTCGAAAAGAGAAGCTGATAATACAGGTAAGCAGGCGCTAAAGCGAGAGGCAGAGCAAACAAGAAAGACTCGGGGCGGCTGCACAGCAGACAGACGGCAAGATGCAGAAGAGAGGAGCGAGGGAGAAGATAAAAGAGGAGTGATGGAGAGCGTATCTCCAGGCGGCAACGCAGAATTACTATAATAGTTTCTGTCACTCCCCTTCTCTGTCATCCCTCGTTCTCTCTCTATCTTTGCTCCCTCTTCTTTGTCCCAACACAAACACACCTTTCTCAGAGGAGTGCATCTGCTCACAGGAGCACTTTGGAGGCTGATTCTGTTATTAATGTGTGTGTGTGAGAGAGGGTGAGGGAGTACAGAGAAAATACTTTGTAGTTGACTGTGTCAATCCGAGAAAATCAAAGGGAAAATTCATATTCAGTAAAAACTTGCTCTCTCATACTGTACATGAGTGTGCCACATAGTTGTATATTGGAGGAATTATTCATCATGATCCTTATTACACCATTTTCAAAATTAATTCGGACCGATGTCCTCCAAACACCAACTCGGACTTACGACATTAATCATAATAATATCTTGAATTTATATAGCGCCTTTCAAGTGACCTTAAAACTTTACATGTGTCAGAAGGGACAAAAAGAAATCAAAAAAGAACATGTATGAATAGATACATGATCTATATTCCAGAAACCATCTTATCATCTTCATGCTTGTGTCTGTTGTTAAGGGCTTAAGGAAGTGCAGTTTTCAAATGTGTGTGTGTGTGTGTGTGTGT